AGAAGAAGAAGAAGGAGAAGAAGAAGGAGAAGGAGAAGGAGAAGCAGAAGAAGGAGAAGAAGAATAACAAAAAGGAGAAGAAGGAGAAGAAGAAGAAGAAGGACAAGGAGAAGACGGTGAAGAAGGAGAAGCTGGAGAAGAAGGAGGAGGAGTATATATATATATATATATATATATACAGGGTTGCCAGGCCGAACGTACGGAGGCCCCTAAGCTGACCCGTGAACGTTCGGGCGTTCGGGTCCCCGTACGGGCCCCGAACTCGAAGGGGTTCAAAACCCGCCAAAAGTTATTTTGGTAGCTAAACATTATTATTTTTTTCTAAAGTTTTGCTTGCTTGTGACTTCTTGGTTATGTAATATACCTTCCTGTAAAGTTTCAAGGCATTCTGAGAAGCCAAACAATAATGAAAAATCGGCAAAGATGGTGGTGTCAAAACTTGCTTGCACACTTACCAATTTGTTTTTCTTCTCTTTTCACTTTTTGTTTTCCTTTTATTTCGGGGCATGAAAAAAAATATTATTTTTTCAAACTTTATTTATAGGTTCTATATTATGCAAGATACATATGTATAAAATTTCATGGCATTTGACAAAGCCAAAAAAAAATGAAAAATCGCCAAAGGTGGCGATGTTAAAAACGTCCGTGCCCACACAATAATTTCATTCTGGTTTTATTTTTTCTTATTTTCATTAATATTATTTATTTTTCGTATTTGATTTTTATTTCAAATTTGTTAACGAATTTGGATGTACTGTTGAGGCAAAAGTTGTTTAGTTTATTCTTCTACATCACATATATGTTTTTCAGATTTTTTGGAAATTGTGTTTTTTTTTTTTTTTTATAGTTTTGGGTCCGCGTTCGGCCGAACGTCCGAACGCGTTGAGAGGGGGTCCCGAACGTTCGGGCGTTCGGGTTCGGGTGTTCGGCCCGTCCCGAACGCCGGCAACCCTGTATATAGATATATATCGTCACAAACAGAACTGCCCGGTAAATCGTAGGCAGAGAGAGAGAAGAGGACAACAAACGAGGGGTTGTGACAAACTGTTTCGTCGGAGTTTCATCGACTCATCAGGAGGCTGAACCCTCAACAGTCTGCAGAATCCCCTCACTGATTACACTGTAAATGATAATCTACCTTAACCAAAATCAAAGTAGACTATCACTCACCCACACCATATATATATATATATATATATATATATATATATATATATATATCTGTGTGTGTGTGTGTGTGTGTGTGTGTGTGTGTGTGTGTATGTATGTGTGTGTTGTTTTCGTTAAACAAGCTTGAAGTTTTTTTTCTTATGCCATTTCAGTGATGGCATTGATGGGTCTGCGGTTGCAGGTAGTGCTTTGATTGGGGGCTTTGATCCAAGGCAGTTGATTGACAGGTGGGGGGGGGGCTTGGGGGCGGGGGGAGGGGAGGCGGATTTGTGGGGCGGACGTTGTTGCTTTCAAGAGTGTTGAAGAGGGGCTGTCGCCTTGGCTGTTTGTGGATTGTGTGTGTTGACGCCTTGGCTGTTTATGGATTGTGTGTGTTGACTCCTTGGTTGTTTGTGGATTGTGTGTGTTGATGCCTTGGCTGTTTGTGGATTGTGTGTGTTGACGCCTTGGCTGTTTGTGGATTGCGTGTGTTGACGCCTTGGCTGTTTGTGAATTGTGTGTGTGCAGGTGAAAATGTCGGTGGCACTGGCGAAGCAGATAACGCATTCGCTTGTGAGGCACTTCACTGATGAAGGTCCTCACGGCAAGTACCCCGCCAAGGGGTCGAGGCACTGGCTCTGCAACTATTGCGAGACCCGGTTCATCGGCATGAAGTCGGTCCTCAAGAGGCACTTGTTGACGAAGTGCAATATCGAGCTTGTCACTCAGGCATTGACCACGGCGGAAAGGGTCATGAGAGTCGAGGGCATCCGGCTGGGGAAGCACCAGGCAAGTCAGCTCGTAGGTGAAATTGGGGTAAGTGGTGGTCCGAGCACAGGACCGTCTTCCAGCAGTTTCATGCCTCCATCATCACCAACACGCAAGCCAAGTGATGGCGAGACACCCTCACCTGCAGGATTTGCGAACATCTTCCCTCCTGCTCTGGGAAGTGGTGGACGGTCGTTGAGGCAAACTTTGCTCGAGGAGGCGGACATTATCATCACCCAAAACAAGCAGACGAGTCGGAAGGTGGATCGGTGGCTGATTCGTACGAATCAATCATTCAGCATGGTGGAGAACTTCTACTTCCTCGAAATCCTCGATGCTGTGAAGAAGTGTCATCCTAGTTGGTGGCCTTGCAACAGAGACGAGATGAGGACCAAACGGTTTGACGGACAGTTTAAATTGGTTGGAGAAGACACACAGTCACTAGTGAAGAAGTGGGAGAGAACAAGTTGCATGCTCTAGATGGACGGGTGGTCGGACCGGAGGAACAAACCGGATATGAACGTCATGGTCTCTTTCCCGATCGGGACTGTTTTGGAAGTTTGTCTGCATGGAGAGGAGGGGGAAGGATTCCACAACGTACTTCAAGATGTTGGACGGGTGATCCCCCGAACGAATACGGGCCGTACGTACGGGCTCATGTGGTTGTACGGGCCGTACGTACGGAAAAAAAATCAAAAAAAAAAAATCAAAAAAATCTGAAAAAAACATATGTTATGCAGAAAAATAAACTGAAACACTTTTGCCTCAAGGTCATATTGAAATTCGTCACGAAATTTGAGATAAAAAAACAAAACCTTTTTTTTTTTTTTTTTTTTTTTTTCCGTACGGGGCTGTACGTACGGCCGTACGGCCGTTCATATGGCCGTACGTACGACCGTACGATAACCCCCCCGTACGTTGTACGGAGTGTTACACAGGATCCAAGAGATCGGTGCAGGGTCCATTGTCGACGTTGTGACGGATAATGTGAGGGTTTTGCGCTAAAGCGGGAAAGATGATGGAGGTCAAGTACCCTGGAATTTTCAGTGAGGGTTGCACAACCCATGCCTTGGATCTGGCCCTGGAGGACATGTACAGTGCATGGATTGGTTGAAAACGGACGTCGACAAGGGCAATCATGTTAGTGAGTTTTTCACCAACGTTGACAAGGTCCGCGCTATGTACAACAGGATCATGGATGCACAACTCAAATGCCCGGCGGTCACTAGATTCGCGACGAACTTTGAGATGCTTCAGTCGCTTAGGACAAGGAGAAATTCATTGGAGCATTATGTCTGCAACGCGGCGTGGGTGGAGAAGTTTGTGAGGGGGAAGCAGGTGGCAGGATTCAACGTCGTCACCCACATCGTCATGGACACAAATGGATTCTGGAAGGATGTGGACAAGGCTCTGGCGGTGATCAAGCCTGTTGTCAAGTTCCTTCGTTTGGCGGACGGTCCATGAGCAACTATGAGCAAAGTTTATTTTGGCATGAACGTGGTTGTGGCAACTATGGACACCCTGGACTGCCTGTCGGACGTGGAGAAGGTGGACGTGGAGAAGATTTTGATGGATCGCTCAGCGTCCGTGTAGAAGATTTCGATGGGCCGGTCGACCTTCATGACATCACAGCTGCATTGCACGGCCACCTTCCTCAATCCCGAGTACAGGACGCACAACTTGCGAGACACGAAGATTCCCGAGGGGTTCAACATCTGACTTTATTCTTGAGCGAGAAATCAACGGATAGGTGGACATCTGGGTGTAGGGATTGGGCACTTTGGGGACACAGAACGCAAGGGAACAGGCAAGTTTGAAGACTCCGGAGCTATGGTGGGAGGCCTTCGGGGGCTCCCTGGACCTCATCCAACCGTAGACAATCAAACTTTTTGGCCAGGCGAGCTCTTCGGCTGCATGTAAGCGAAACTGGAGCTTGCACCAACTCATTTACGGCCAACGCCGCACGAAAACAACCTGTTTAAGATAGGGAGGAGAGTCGTCATGTGGGTCATCTGGAGGAGACACTGTATACATATCATGCAAGGGGTCCGCATAGCCGGGGAGGAAATGACGGACATGGTCAAACAATATGTCCACCAGGATCTTATGGCACAATGGCAAAAAGTTAAAAGTCAGTTGGATCTGTTTCAAACACAAAAAGATATAAAATAGAAAATCTAACAATTCTCGGGGGACTGGTTGGGTAGCGAGAACAAAGGCCGGATTGCTTTCATCAAGTGGGATGGTGGTTGCACCCAGGAAGATAATGAAGGTATCGAGGATGACAACCAAGGGACAATCAAGAAAGACTATCATATCTGTTTCAGAGATTGGACAACGGTGGATCCAAGAATCCCGTTGCGGCCTCCCTCAAATTTTGTTGACCCCTTCCCCCCCATCAACCGACCATGGTAGACATGCAGTGGTATGGAGTGGTACGAGTAGGCCAGCATCATCAATAGAAGGTGTATCTCAAAGATCAAGGGTGGGAGGAACCAGGGTGTACCAGCACGTATCTGGCGCCAGGTTCAAAGTGAAGAGATTCTCCCCCCTCCCAACATTCTACTCAGTCTGCTCAGTCAACCCTCTAGACGCCAAGGTAGTCAATGTTGGCAGGAATATCCCGCATCTCTGTTTTTCAGATATGTTTCGAATTTTGTTTATGTAAGGGACGCTGGACCCGTTTTCCAGCAGGTGTCGCTCCCCACCAATAGATGGAGCCCCCCCCCAGGTTAGCGATGTCTGCTCTTATTGGCACCACTAGCACTGAAGAGGGTGTGTTGAAAAAAAAAAAAAAAAAAAAAACTATTGCCTGAGAGATTGAGTAAGCTGGTGTATAACAATTGGAATATTCAATCGTCGACACGGAGAGAGCGACGGAACGGGGAAGACATACACATTCCGTGGAAGGACGACGAGCTGACGAGAACGGAAGTGGAAGAGTGGTACGACCAATGAGCCGTGAAAGTTAGGGAAGGGACAACCGGTGATGCTGCTGCAGCGGAGGTCCGCGACGACGAATGCGACGATGCCCCGCTGGCGTGGACATGGCTGAAAAAGTTATAAGAACAAAAATGATAAGAATACAATTTTTTTCTTCTTCAATATTTATCATTAGAATAGTATAGCAATTAACACGATATGCCAAAAATGCGCCTATAGCACTAAACAAAATGGGTATTAGTTTCATAATTCTTAGAGTGACAAATTCTGACGAAAACATAATTTCGTTTTTCGGTAATATGAAAATAGAATTTGCCTAAAAATGAGTACCTAAACCAATCATCATATATTTGGCCAAATATCATACAACGACATTACCGTGCTTGGTGCGCTGGAGAGAACATGGCACGCAAACACAAAGCCCGGGAAGCACCGAGTGCGGGAGTTGCGCGGGAAGTCGGGTCTTGAAGAGCCCGATCTCGGGTTCGTGTATACCTTGGAGGGTCGTGCCCGTGCGTTGGAGGCACGTCAAACCGGCGATTGGGTGCATGGGAAGGAGGCAGTATCGGGTCGCAGGCGACACAAAAAGAAGGCAACAGCAGCGGACGTTGCCGAAGAACTGCAGGCTGAGAAAGGAAAGAGGAATGTTGAGGAAGGGGATGTTCCACAAAAAAAAAAAAGAGGGCGGCCTCGTCTTTCGCCAATGAAGAAGGCTGCAAAAGCAACAGCACGTGCAGAGGCAGCAAAAGCTGCAGCAGCCGAGGCAGCAAGGTCTGCAAAGAGGAGAACAACTGAGGTGATCGAAGACGATGAAGAAAATATGGGTCGTAAGGGGAAAAAACAGCATTCTTCATCGTCATCGTCCTAGTCGGACGACAGTGCACCGCGGAAGATAGAGGAGGAGGAGGAATTGTCCCAAAGAACAGATGATAGTGGAGAGTCGGACGGGGATGAGTCAGAGGAGGTCCCGTTGCAGGTGGAGTCTCACGGGGAGGAACACTCGAGGGAGCAGGACGAGTAGCCCTTAGTTTTCGCAGAATCACGAATGAGTATCTTGAGGTTAGTGTGTGTTGGCTTGCTTCCGTGCTTGTAAAACTACGAACTTCGCAAACTCTGCTTTCGGGATACTGAGTCTAACACTTTCTTTTGTCTTGAATCTTGTGATGTTTCTTGTTTCTGCTTGTATTTGAAAAACGAACATGCTTCCTCTCTGATTGCACGCACATCGCTCAACCAACCCCAAGGTAAGTACTAAGTTCTAATCGCCGCCCCCGAGGACATTTTGTGGGTTAATCTGTAAAGTTGTTGTGCACAGTGGCAGCATCAATCCTGCAGAGTCAGTGAGAGTGTGTGTGTGTGTGTGTGTGTGTGTGTGTGTGTGTGTGTGTGTGTGTGTGTGTGTGTGTGCTCTCCAATGCAGCATTAATAAAAAAAAAAAAAGATATGTGTGTGTGTATGTGATCTCCAATGCAACATAAAAAAAAGCAAAAAAAAAGATGTGCGCACCTACTGCATATGCGGGCTGCAGATGCGCATTCCCCAGCGCACCCGCGCGCAGCGCAGCAGGCATGTGCGCAGCGCACCACGCACCCAGATGCGCGGCGCGCGCGCGTGCGTGCACACCTCGGGGCCGCGCACAGCGCACTGCGCAGCGCACAATGCCGGTGCGCCGCAAGTATAATCATTCCATGTTCTCTTTTTTTTTTTCCCCCTTGAGAGAACAACCTGAGCTGATGCTAGGGTTGCTGATAGGAGCAGGCGCCACAGCAGGGAGGCGCCATCTATTGGTGGGGAGCAGCACCTGCTGGAAAACGGGTCCAGTGTCCACCTGAACATTGTAGTTGTTTGCTTGTTTGAACGGATATGTGACTGTAGTGACTGCAAGCTGTAGGGCCGACCTACAAGGGGGCAATTTGACAGGTAGATGTGCACAGCAGCCTGAGTTGATGGCCTAGATGACAGCATAAGGAAACTTAGGAAAGTGATAGTACATCTTAGTCCCGTGGTTACTACTAAGAGAATTTGAACCAGGTTCTAAGTAGTTGTCTGCTTCTTCCCTTTCATGCAGCAAACATCCCCCTCTTGTCTCAGTATTGGGGCTTGGTGCTATCACCTATGATTGACCCCCAGTTCATGCCGGCAAGCAAACCTCCCACTCCCCAAGCCCCATCCTTTGGAAAGTGGTACGGTGCCATGTGATGTCTGTTGGACGTGCGCAGTTTCCATGTTCTAGCGGTGGGTTCAGTCTGATTTTGCGCATTTGGAGAGCAGCGCAGTACAGGCTCAGAATCGAACTGACTGGAAAATATTCAGAAATCGTCCATCTGATACGACCATGTGCGGGACATGCACACACATGAGAATAGTACACGGCCTCACAAAAAACTGCTGTACGTGAAAGAAGACGTGAGTATGCACACACATGAGAATAGTACACAGCTTCAGCTTCACGAAAAATTGATGTATTTCAAAGAAGACATGAGTGGCCCCAGCTAACGCTGAAGTATTTCATGGCATTCATCTGAAGTCGAAGTCATCGTTGGACCTGGTTTCCAGCAAGGTGATGCTCCCCATCAATAGA